ACTCATAAGACTTTTAATGTGCCAGGGGCTCTTCTTCTTTGTTTTCAGCCTGTTAGTGCGTTGGTCCCGTTGACCAAATTTCTTCCACCAGTCGGATCGCCCAGCTGCAACAATCAAAGTCTTGAATGGTACTAATAAATATTGTCGAGTGATAATGCCGCACATTATCAGATTTGGTTATCAGCGAACTTTTCTTCGCTACAGATTTATCACTAATTGGGAATCCCTGATCATTGACGGTCGGATGAGTTTAGTTACAAAAGATATCGAAACAAACAGAAACCATGATGTGCTATTGAGTCAGAATCCTTGCTGGATAGCGGCCGTAGTCCAACAGCGAAAAATAAACCACATTTTCATCTTGTTATGGGGAATTGCCGTTGATCGGTTCCTCTGCACTGCATCTACCTGTCTTATTGAATGAAAAATATCAAAGAACAATGTTCGAATACCAAGGTATGACTGTTGACATAAAGGGGATAACGAACCTATTCGCTCCAGCCCTCTGCACAGGCTCTTTGCCAGCCCTTGCTTGTTTCTTATCTGTCCTTGTCACCCATCACCTTCGGTCCCTACTTATTCTACACCACCTATTAAAGTGTTCCACCTTTAATATGAAAGACGTTGTGGACCTAATGACTCCCGTCTTCTATGGCTCGGTATATCTATATCTAACAGTTGTTATCAATCATTATCACTGAACATCTACGGTCCCTTCTTAATCCATATCCCTTACTAAAGTACCAATGTTCCACCGTTGTTACGAAGGAGGTAGCGGATCCTGCGGCTCTCGCATTCTAAGAGGCTTTGTCGACTCCTTCCAATTGATATCACCCCTATCACATATCACCTGTGTTCCCGCCCCCCCNCCCCCCCCCCCCCCCCGTACTCCTATCAAGTTTGAACACATTAAGTCCTTGGGACAGGACCTATGAAATTACGGAGTACGGTCCTGCCACTTACCATAGGTGTTCCCATCCTGTCCCCCTTATTCCTACCAAGTTTGAACTCTCTAGTCCACGGGGACAGGAGTTATGAATTTCCGGTCAGACACACACCGACACACGCGCACGAACACACAAACACACCGACACACCAACAGACGAATTATATAAAGGAGGATTGGAGAGATGTTCCCCTGACTTTCCCTGACTTTTTTCAAAAAACAGGCATTCAAATTTTGTATCTTATCCATAGTATTCGCGTTCCTATCTGATCTTATCCCATGTACTTACTCGGATCTAGAGTTCCTGTATCCCGCCATCCTCTACTCGTATACCAAACCAATCCCCTTACCACCTTCAACTGTTCCACTCCATGTGATCTGCTTCTCCTATCTGTTGACTCCAGTGTATTGGCCATATTTTCTGTATTCTACTAAATACGCCAGCTGTTATCCAGCACAACTTATTCTTACTGCTGCTTACTTTTTACTATTAGATGTTTCACAAGAAGAAAGGTACGTCCTTAACTTCAACTAACACTTGCAAGCAACGACCCCACCACTGTTGCTTCTCACCGTTTTCGAGTGTGAAAGTGTTTTTTACAGACTGAGGTGTTGTAAACACACTATTTTTCCTTCGGAATCCTTCGGAAAAGAGGAGGCCGTTCTTATATAGTTCTAGCGGCTTATTTATATTTATTTATTATTTATTTATTTATTTATATTTATGTCTTTGTCTCCCCGAAATATCATTCCAGGGCGAAGTCTGTAATATGGAATTGGCATGCCAGGTAGCCATCTGTGTGCTAGTCTCAGTAAAGGAGTGAGTTCTATCGAATTATGACAGTGTTTGGGAGTCAGATGTACCGTGGCTGTCATACTGAAATAAAATTGTAAACTATGGAATTAACTGTGGATGTAGTCAACTTGACCTTTTTTCGATAGTGGAACAAATCTTCTTCCTTCGCTATTCTTTCTCTGTGGTAGGTCTGACCTCGTCCACCCTTTTTCTAGAAAAAGTCATTGAGGTCACCTTACATTCTCACTAAAAAAATGGTTTCAAACATGTATATTAGGTTATCAAGAGCTCCGAATCCCTCTCAAACCACTGGCAACAACAAGCCGTTAAGATGTCGACCGAAACTCTATGAATACTTCTACTGCAAAAAAACATGTATGGGGAAAATGGCCAGAACATTGTACTTGCACACGATGTTGCATTCATGATTACGAAGTAAAGGTTTGAATTCACCTTTTTGTTGTTTCTAGATCCTGTTTCGGATAATATACGCATTTGACCTTAATTAAAAACCGTAGTGGCTGACATTATTATTAGGGATAACCATTAATCAATTGCGAGGGCTTACATAAGTTGCTTTGCAGGCCTCCATAACGCAGATATTGCTTGGTATGGGAACTATCGAGAATGCAGTAAGGAATCGTTCCACTTTTAACACAACCCTACCAGAGAATTCATATATCAAAGAGTTTATCAGAAAAGGACAACGATAAACGAAAACCTAAACGAAGCGAGCACCCATTTCGTCTTGACTTTCACAAACACATGGTGCGCCAAAATCGCACTCCATGATGTTTTCAAACATCCGCACACGGGGAAATATCTCAAACGGCAGCTGGTGGCGAGATTTAATTGCGTTCCTCATCTGGATGATTCGGAACTTCGCGCTAATCTGTTAGGTTCCACAGTCCTCCCCAACCTCTGCTAAGCGTCATAGACATGGGTGACCAGTCCGACCAGTGTCGTCTTTAAGCGTAAAGTCACAGAGCACTTGAGCGATGTGTTTTGAGTTCAACCGACTTACTCGATGTCGAGTCGGACTACGCAGCTCCGATATACATAGAATGTCTAGAACACACGAAAAACGCCAATTTTCGGTGGGCCGGTCATCTCATGAAAAGGGATGACGACAGAAGGACAACAATAGTTGAGTGGGACTCCGTAAGACGATTCTAAGGGAATCCTGCAAGATGGGTGATGTGCTCGTCAATCTTGTAACACAGTTGCGAAAGCGGCTAACGACTCCTCACATCGTCATCTTTATTGGACTCAGAGTCAACATGGATGGCTAACGCGTAAGGCAGAAACGAATGAATTGTAGCTGGTGCGCATGGATGAAGACGAGCCGCACGAGCATAAGCAACATTTACTGAGAGTGTTTCGAGAGAGCGTTTCTCTCCGATGCAGTGAAACGCTCTCTCGCATCTAGCGTTCTCTTGTTGTAGAGATGCCTGTAGATAATTGGGACGTGAGAGCCTTCTCTCATCAACGTTAACCCAATGACGACTGCGCCTTTTAACCGTGCCTGGTGTGTGGGACGGAGCGCGCTTCTCGCAGGCTGTTGCTGTGGCCCGCCGAGGGGCCACGCGGTCCCACGAGTAACCTAATTTTTTTACGCACTCATTCTTCGAGATAAAACCTCACCGCAATGTGGCAGAAGTAGCGATAAGCCATCTACAAAACTTACGTGCTACATTGTGAGTGACTTATCACTCTTTCTGTGGTACTTTAATGGAACCCTCGAAATCTAGAACAACATCTATCCAGTAAATAGGGAACTGCTCAATTTATCTCTGAACCCTTGTGGCTTGTGGCATCCAAACCCAACAAAACATATAGAGCTGTGTCTAGAGACGAGTGATGAATTTTTTTCTCAAAACTCACATGGATTGGCCAGAGGCAGATAGCATTGTTGTGACAAACCTTATAAGATCCTTGCTTGTGAGACCCTTGTAGACAAAGTGTTTTGAACGGCTTGGAGCAGACGCTTAACTCTGCTCCAAGCCGCTGCTCCTGGGATGCCGGCGACCATGTCTTTTGTGCGTGCCCCCTGTTGAGCGCTCTCGGGAGACCACCTCCATAACTTCGTTCAGAGAATCGTTTGGCAGATTTTGAATGCAGATTTGAAATCAGCATCAAAAAATACGTCTAATGGTATAGGTCTCATTTCAAACAGCCACTTCGACTGGGGATCCTCCCCTTGTAAGGGATGCCAGGATGAGTGAAGCACAGGGCAAGATGCTCAGTGCATAACGTGATCCCATATGAGCGGAACAAGTATCGAAGTGAGCGCTGCCAAGGACAAAACATTTTCCCCGAACATGTCAGGTACCGCAAAGAAATAGCGAAAGTGAGCAGTTCAAAAAACAAGACGAATGTGACCTACATGCTATGAGCTCAAAATAAGTGGCACTCACTACATAGATAAGTAAGATCTATTTCAATTTTCGTTTTCATTTCAATTTTTTGTTTTATTCTGTTTTAGAGCTCAGCGAAACTAAATGTTTCCAAAACAGAAGCGAGATAAGAGAGGCACTGTAAAAAATAGCATTCACCGCCAACTCACATGGGGATGACTGCGAAACATTCAATTAGCTCTATGATAGAAGCACCCTAACTACATAGTGTCCCCATTTTCTTTCGGTTCTCCGAAAATAAGTGAGGTGTTGAACTCTTCGAATTTATTAGCCCAACATGAATTAGTCCGCATCTGATGGTGAAGAAACGTTATTCAAACTGATTAAGCAATAATATATCGCCAACGAAAGTCATCTCTTTTAGAGAGGGTAGTTTGAGAACTTTCACAATTAGTGGAAAAAATCACGAAGAATCTCGTCTTCATTTTCCAATGAAGTGTTCAAGGCAAAAGAAGATTAATCGCAGGGAACGGACGCGAACATGGAAATATTTAAACCGGGTGTTACATTATCAACTCTCTTTAAACGAAATTCAGTAAGCAAGACGTTTTTTTTAACGGAACATTACCTGAATATGATTCATTAATGGCTATTGTTTTTGATCAAGTTCATTTATTTGAACAGAAAATGCAGAATGTTTGATAGTTGCGCCACAGAGCTATGATATCTACACCAGTGACACATTATCAAAACAATGCATTTTTACAGAAAGCTCGTTCAAGTTGTTCATAGCTCGCGGCAAAACTTCCATCGAATTTGCAAATTCGCGTCCCAATTCAGGATTACAGAAAATATTCAGACATAGATGCTCAAACAGCATTCAAGAAAAAAAACTACCCACTCGTCAATCATTAAATCATCCATCTCAATCGTAGGCGAGCCATCAAAACTTTGAAGCAAAGAACAATGGCAATTGTAGGGAAGAATATTTGAAGCCAACGGATCAGGAAAAGACAAACTGAAAATAATGGACATTGTATTCCTTGGCTGAATGTAGAAAAATATCCTCACCTTTTGTGACGATGCCCTGAAGGAAAAGTGAAGACATTGTCGTCTAAACCAACATTTCCACTAGGTACCAGGTTCGCGCTTCTCAGAACAGAATGGAAATCGTCTTCTGAAGAGGTCGGTCTTCGAAAACTGAATGTCTCTTTTGTGCATTACTGCTTACCTAACAGAACACGCGCTCTCGATCGTCGCGCTAAAAAAGCTCGCTCCAATTCCTCGTGCCTGTCCCGCACTTGCGGTGTTTTTTCACTGGTTTCACGGAGAAAGGAGCGTTTAGTACAACAAAATGTCTAAAACCCACGATACCCTTCAAATTTGAATGATGACATTAATAATCAAAGTGCAAACAATGGAAGGCTACGGGATAGAGGGTCTAATAGAATGATATTTTATTTGCTAAATAAATTTTCACATTTCTAGCAATTGCAAAACATAAGCCTTAAAAAACCTTGTTCCAATCTTTCATACCCTAATAAAGGTAGAAGGTTGAGAAAGTGGATAAGTGAATGTGTACAACACCATTCGCCTTTACATTGATCAAGATAGATGCTGGAAAAACTGGGTTTTTTATCCCAGGTATGAATGAGAAAGAACGCGGTAGTGTGTTCACATAAAGGAAGAGAGGAGGAAAAGGGAGTGTGTTCGTCCACACAAAAATATAAAAGAGGGATTGTCACTCTCGCGAATTTATCCATCTCGCTCAGACAGCGGCGAGTTGAATTATTACAATTTACAGTTCAGGTCGTCATCGTTTTCCCTAAACGATCCCAAGACCCAAGAACCTCCACCCCCCCGCAGGCCTACCACCTCAACGCGGTGGGTGGGTGAAGCGTGCGGCGTGCGGGCGTGTCTACTTTACCACTCTTACTTACGTAAAAAAAAGTACCGGGTTTCGGAATTTTTTCTCATCACATGCTCCGATGCAAAATTTTGGTAATTTCCAGTTAGGCTAGGTTTATAATGGCCGGCCTGTCGCTTCGCGTTAGAAGCTATGATTAGGTAGTTGTCGAGCAACAGGAAGCATGGCGGCCCCTTGCTTAAGTCCCCCTTATCCGTCCGCCCGAGGTTGCGATTGAATTCGTTCTTCACGCGCTAACCTGCACACAGCAAGCCTCTGTACATTATGTCCAAATCACTCAGTTCTGGAATAAGGACGAGGAGTCGTTCGGGGAAATATCTATATACAAAAATAGAGAAAACCTGTTGCCCTGCCACGTGCTTTCGTCTTCACCATCGCGAAAAACTACCAAGACCCTGTCGTTGTATAAGAAGAGATATCCAGACGACATTGGCAATTATTGCCCAATTCATGTGCTGTCTATAATCTATAAACTCTCAACACGAGTCATCTTTAAAGGCACAGTTCAAGGTAATTCTGGTTAGTTTAGAATATGACGAAAAATGGACGGTAAGATGGAAAATTGTGCGATAAAGGCGAAGAAACTGAGTGAATCGGTGTTTCCAAAGTGAAAAAAGGCTTCGATAAATGGTAAAAAAGTGGCTTGGACCAGAATGAGACCAAGAAGATTGGGGGGTTTGGAGGAGCTATACAATGTGGGTCATTGTGTATGTATGGGTCCTGGTGCAAATAACTGACTACGGTAAGCAAAAATTCATTCACTCATAAGCATAAGTAAACAAAAAACACTGGCAACAGCAGAAAAAGCTCACCTTCTTCAGCCTCTTGGGGTAGGAAATTTAATAAGGGATCGCGGCAGCAAAAAGAGTATCAGAGGAAAAAAGAGTGGAAGAAAAACATCGCCTCATCACTCGGCGATCACCTGATTGTGTGTGGATCCTAGAACGAATAATTGCAATTTGCATCGCCTCAACACTCGTCTGACGTGACATCGATGGAGGGGAAGTCCGGGCGATCCGGTAAAGGGGCTTCCAATATGCCCTAGCTGTTGAGTTTTGGGACTGGACAGCATCCTCCTGTCGCCCTTGAGGGCCACTCGATATTTTTAGAGAGAACTCAGAAACCATTTTATCGTGAACTGTGCCTTCAACAGGATTGGCAGAATATTAGATGAAGGACAGCCATGCGAGCAAGCACGGTTTCGGAGAGGATTCAGTACAATCGATCGCATCCACCCGTCACAAGATTCACTGAAGTATCGCGATAGTACAAAATGCCGCTATGTCTTACGTTCATCGATAAGAAGAAAGCCTTTGTTACCGTCGAGTCAGAAGCGGTGATTGAAGCCCTGGTCAACAAGGGTGTTCCCACTCAATATGTAAGACTCGTGAGCTCTGCATCAACTTCACGACCAGGATCTCGCCATTTTATAAAGAAATCATCAACGTGAGGAGAGGGGTTCCGCAGGGCGATACCATCTCGCCCAAAATTTTCAGTGTCGCTATCGCGAACGTCATGCGTCATATGGAATGGGAACGCATGGGAGTGAAGGTCAACGACGCTACTTACATCACCTTCGCTTTCCAGATGACATCGTGCTCATGACACCCAACATCGAGCAGGTGGAACAAATGCTGGCCGAATTCGACTTGTGGAAAGATCGGATTACGACTGAACCTAACGAAAACGATGTTCATGCGAGATGGATTGGTACCTAATGCTCCTTTCATGCTGAACGGAACGAATATCTCTGAATGTTCCAGCTGTGTATCTGGTTCGGGAAGTTAACATGATGAACGACCTAACCCCGGAGCTGAGCAGAAAGAAACGCGCCGCTTGGGAGCATTTAAGAATATCGAGGGAGTAGTGAAGAA